CAAATCAAAACTACAATGAGATATCACCTTACACCTGCTAGAATGGCTATAATCCCCAAGACAAAAAATAACAAATGGTAGACAGGATGTGGAGAAAAGGGAACCCTCATACACTGCTGGAGGGAGGGCAAACTGATGCAGCCACTATGGAAAACAGTATGGAGATTTATCAAAAGATTAAAAATAGAACTACCGTATGATCCAGCTATCCCACTACTGGATATTTATCCAAAGAACTTGAAATCAACAATTCAAAGACACTTGTGCACTCCTATGTTCATTGCAGCGTTATTTACTATAGCCAAGAAGTGGAAGCAACCCAAGTGCCCATTGATTGATGATTGGACAAAGAAGACGTGAGATAGATATATATACTCAATCATAAAAATACTACTCAATCATAAAAAGACAAAATTGTCCCATTTGCAACAACATGGATGGACCTGGAGGGTATTATGTTAAGTGAAATAAGCCAGACAGAGAAAGACAAGCATCACATGATTTCACTCATATGTGGAAGATAAACCAACACACGGACAAAGGGAACAGTTTAGTGGTTGCCAGAGGGGAAGGGGGTTGGGAGGTGGGCACAAGGAGTGAAGGGGCGTATTTATATGGTGACTGACAAAGAAGAATATACAACTGAAATTTCACAATGTCATAAATTATTATGACCTTAATAACATAACATTAAAAAGCAGAAAGAAAAAAGTGTGTGCAAATTAATGAGTTAATCATCTAATTTAAGAAGGCAGGAAAAGACAGGGGAAAAAATAGAAGGAAGAAATTTTAAAAATATGAACAAAAACAAATGAAGCAAAAAAGCATATAAAAGAGAGAATGTCTGGGGCTGGCTTCCCAAATTCATCTGCAGATTCAATGCAATTCCAAACTCAATCCCAACAGGGTCTTTCCTGGCATTTGCAACCAGATTCTAAAATGAATATGGAAAAAGCAAAGAGGGAGGGTTAGCTTTTTTGATGACCACGAAGGAACACCAGGCAGGGAGACTTGTGCTCTGAAACATCAAGATTTATTATCGATGATCACTGTGATGAGATAGTGCATTTTTGGTGCAGGGAGAGTTAAGCTGAGAGAGGAAGAGAGTGCAGCCTCCAAAACAGACCCGCAAATATATGAGCACTTAATTCACAACAGAGGCGGCTCTGCAGATCTGTGGGGAAGGAGAACTACTCAGGGGCTGGCAACCGTGTGTGTAAAGGGCCAGGGAGCAAACATCTTAGGCTTTGTGGGCCTCAAGGCGTCCAATGCAGCAATTCAACTCTGCTGTTGTAGCGTGAAAGCAGCCCAAGGCAATACTCGTCTATGTATTGTAATACACGGCTGTGTATCCAATAAAACTTTATTTATAAAAAAGCCAAAAACATAACTTTATGTACGCCAAGATTTAAATTTCATGCACTTTTTATGGGTCATGAAATACTATTAGTCTTCTTTGGATTTTTTTTTCAAACGTCTAATAAAGCAAAAACCATTCTTACCTCCCAGGCTGTATGGAAACAGGTGGAGGGCTGGATTTGGTCTGTGGGCCATGGTTTGCTGACCCTCAACCAAGAAATGGGGCTCAAGCAACTGGGTAGCCATATGGACTCTGCACTGTACAGAAACAGTCAGTTTGGGGAGGATTTCAGACTTAAATGTGAAAGGCAGTGTATTACTCAGCATTCCCCAAAGAAATAGAATGAATAGGAGATATATGTATATACGGAGATGTATTATAGGAATTGGCTCACACTGCATGGAGGCCAAGAAGTCCAATGATCTGCCATCTGCAAGAAGAGAACCAAGAAAGCTGGTGGTGTAATTCAGTCTGAGTCCAAAGGCCCAAGAACCAGGGGAGCGGATGGTTGAAGCCCTGGAGTCCAAAGGCTGGAGAACCAGGAGCTCGCATGTCTGAGGGCAGGAGAAGATGGCAATCCCAGCTCAAGAAGAGAGAGTTTGTCCTTCCTCCGCCTTCCTTGTTCTAAGTGGGGCTCTGAATAGATTGGATGATGCCTACCTACACTGATGAGTGCAATCTTCTGTACTCAGCCTATTAATTCAAGTGTTTATTCTTTTCCAGAAACACCCTCACAGGCACACCCAGAAATAACGTGTTACCAGCTATCTGGACATGCTGTAGCACGGTCAAATGGATTCATAAAATTAACCATCACAGGCAAAAACACAAAATTTTTGGAACGAAACACAGTGGAACATCTTTGTCACCTTGCTGTAGTTCATAAGCACACTCACACACACACACAAAAGGATTGAAAAAAACGTAAAGCACAAAAAGATAAATTCGATTCCATGAAATAAGAACACCGGTTTATCAAAACACACCGTAAAAGTAAATGAAAAGGCAGGCTAACGCTGGGAGAAGATATTTGTAACACAAAGACTGACAAAGCCTTAGTATTCCTAATATATAAAGAACTCAGACAAATCAATAAGAAAAAAGACAACCCAACAGAAAAGTGGACCAATTTATTAATGGCCCTTCACAGAGGAGTAAATACATGCAATAAACTTGTGACAAAGTGGGGCACTTGATAAGTAATTATAGAAATGTGAATTAAAAGATCCTATGCTGCAGCTAACGTGCTGACAAATATTTAAAAGGATGCTGAGCAATTGCCATTCTGGTCTGGTGGGAAGCTTCATGTGCACCCTTTCTCTAAGGAAGCTGGAGACAGCCATACCCTACCACCCAGCGACTCTGGTTTGGGACCCTTAAGTGATAACGTCAATTTAGTGGGTCACGGTCAATATTATTAAAAACATTAAATGAAACAGAATGATAGAGAATAAAATTTATCAGAGTGCGTCTCGTCTAGTTTTTTGGTAGATTTTTCAGTTAGACTTTCATTTACATCCTTGCAGTCTTCTACGTCCTGACGCGTTGTAAAATGTATTTCTTACTATGAGTCTTGGTCAAAAAAGGTTTGAAAGCTTCTGCTCGGAGAGGAGTCTCCAGGAGGCTTGCGTGAGGATGCTCGTGGCAGTTTAGTCGGTAATGGCTACCCACTGGGAGCACCTCCAATGTCCATGGACGAGAAACAGATAAGTAAACTGTGCTGCATTCTGCAGTGGGAACACTGTGGACGTGAACGCACGTTGGCTACAGTCCATCAAAAGGGGACCTAATCTTGGGCAAAAATAGTCAAGTTGTAGAATGCATGATGTTTGATTCTGTTTTTACCAAATTCAGAAAATGCAACCTAATATATATGGTTAAGTGATATATTTGTATGTGTAAAATGTTTTCAAAAAGCAAGACAATAATGGACATAAGATTCAAGAGAGTATCTACAACCGTATTAGCAGAGAGAAGACCTGGGGCTAATTTTTTTTAAATAACAGCTTTATTGAGATATAATTCACATACCACACAGTTCACTTAATTTAGGTCTACAATTCAGAGCCAGCCCAGATTGCCAGTGGTTAAAGTTCGACACACTCTGCTTTGGCGGCCAGGGTTCACTTCCTGGGTGTGCAACCACACCACTTGTCTGTCAGTGGCCATGCTGTGGTGGTGGCTCACACAGAAGAACTAGAAGAACCTACAGCTATCATATATGCAGCCACGCACTGGGGCTTGGGGAAAAGGAGGAGAAAAAAGAGGAAGATTGGAAACAGACGGTTAGCTCAGGGTGACTCTTCCAAAAAAAAAAAAAATACCGAACAAACTTTAAAGTGTACAATTCAGTGAGTGTTAGTATAATAGTATATTGTGGTGAAGCCATCACCACAATCAATTTTAGAATATTTTCATCACCTCAGAAAGAAACTCCATACCCTTTAGCTATCATCCCCCAGCCTCCTCAGTCCCCAGCCCTAAACAATCACTAATCTATTTTTTTTGTCTCAATATATTTGCCCCTCCTGGACCTTACATGTAAATAGAATCTTATAATATGCAGCTTTTGTGACTGGGTTCTTTCAATAGCATGCTTTTAAGGATCCTCCATGTTGCAGCATGAAACAGTACTGCCTTCCTTTTTATGGCTGCGTAATATTCCATTATGTGGATACACCCCATTTTGTTTATCCATTCATCAGTTGATAGATGATTGGGTTGTATCTACCTTTGGGCAATTATAAACTACGCTGTTATGAATATTGTGTACAGATTTTTTTGCATCATGGGACTTATTTAACATATTGATATTTTCTATTTCTTCAACTAGATTGTTGGTGCATGGATGTTTCATTGTTATTTCTTGCATCTTACACTTATGAATATTCTTCTATACAGACATAAAATTTAATAAAACTCATTAAAAAATACATGTAGTGTAAGATATTTCTGGAAGGATACCAAGAAACTGCCAAATTCGCCCCTAAGGAGGGGAACTGGGTGGCTGGGGGCTAAGGGTGGGGTGTATGGAGGCTGATCTTTCCCTTTATGGCCTTTTATACAATGTAAAATATATATGTTCATATGGATACACATGCAAGAGCAAAAATGTCTATTCCAGGCTGTGGTCCTCGCTCATGTGGCTCATCCCTCCCTGCCCACTCTGCCCACTTGGGAGCACTCTGGCCCCTTTCCCGCCCAGCAGCTGCATGGACAGTAAGCAGTGGGACAAGCAGAATCCCCAGCCCACCAGCCCTTGCTTTGATGACTCCCCTTTCATGTGGCTCTTGGACTTGATTTTTTGACACCCTGAACAGGTTGGATTAGGGGAAAAGCTACAAGCTCCAGAATGGGGTCAGTAATGTTTCTTCCTTTCCCAACCAGCACAGCTCGGTTAGTCACTGTGCTAGCCCCACCCAAATTCTTTTCAGCTGACAGCGCCCAGCCAAGTCTGCCTGCTCAAGGAAACAGGGCTGTGATGTTGTTTCAAGGGGATGGCACTGTCTGGACCAACTGAGATCACCCGACTCAAGCCAGCCACTCGTAGGTGTCCAGTGTCCAGTGGGGTCCAGCCCGAAGGGCTCCAGCCAACGGGGAGGAGGTCATAAGCTAAGCTAATCCCGTTATCTTCCTGCAGAGTGGAGGAAGGCAAGTACTTCTCTCTTTGTCCCACTGAAGCGAGAGGAAACTGGAGTGGAGCTGCTGACAGAGGCTGAGTCTCCACTGGGGCAAGACCGCATTGCTGTGAGAGTGGCTGGTCTACAGAGATGCCTTAAATCCTGACTAGTTGTCCAGTCTTGTTCCAGTCCACCTGTATCCTGACCATAAAGCTCTCTTTTTTTAAGAGCCTAGAGAAGGTAAGTTACTGGTCCTCACTTCCCGGCCCACATGCCCCACAGTGAGGATGCTAAGCGCCATCGTCACTTCCACCCACGGCATCCTGCCCAGTTTTCCCAGGATGTTACAGCCCGTAAGTGGCTGTCAGATACTTATTTGGGGCTTTGGGCGGGGTAGCACGCTGGCGTCTAAAGAAGCACCCCCTCCACAGCCAGGCAGTAGCGGACTTTGGGTTTCCACTGGGTTTAGAATGTGTGTTTCTGAACTGTGGGCAAGAGGGAGGAAGTGGAGTGGTCTCTTGCCATATTCCTGGCCCAGCAGGCTCACGGTTTCCAGTGCGGGGGGAATGCGCCTCTGATGACATGTTCTGCCTAGTTCCACGGACTTTGAGGCTGGTGGAAACGTTTGTAAGTTCTGGTCATGGTCAGTTCCAGTTTTCGGGTCTCCTTGGAGCTCCTCCCTTCTTCTTGAAACTCGTCCACTTTGGCCTTGCTCTCTCCATCCTGACTCACCCCCATACCCACCTGACTTCACTCGTTCCTCTCCTCTCTGACCTGACCTGGGACTTGGTGATTTTTGACCACGCCCCTGACCTCAACCATCACCAAATCCTTCTGAATCTACATTCAAACTCTGATTTCTCTTCTCTCTCACTGATTTCCAGGCCTGCTTGTCTACTGGGCGTGTACCCTGGCCCTACTTGTAGATAGAACATTTTTAATGTGAACTTTGATTCAGATTTATTTATTTTATTACAGTATAATTGTGATTCATGTTCTTATTTTTTTAGGTGAGAAAGATTGGCCCTGAGCTAAGATCCGTTGCCAATCTTCCTCCATTTTTTATGTGGGATGCCGCCGCAGCGTGACTTGATGAGCGGTGGCGTGTGGGTCCGCACCTGGACCAACCCTGGGGAACGCAGGAACTTAACCATCACGCCATTGGGCTGGCCCCCTGTGATTCACAATTTTAAATATTTGTCTGCCTGGGCAGGGACAGAGGGAAAACGAAACTGAAAAGGAATAGAAGGCTGGACATACAGATGGCAACACACAGACGCAGTCTTGACACAAGGATGGCTCCGGTGAGTTCCCACTCAGCTTTTATTTGAAAAACAATGACTCTGTTAGTGGTGATATGGGGGGTTTTCTTGTTGGTCTGCAACTCTGGGCACGGGTAGTGCTGAGGCCTGAGGGCCCGGCTACCTGGGGACGGCAGGTGGGGAAGGGGAAAGAGATGAGGAAAGGGGTGGGCTGCTCTGGGTTGTCCTGATGGGGCAGGGATGGTGGTCTCAGAGAAGGCAGCCCCTGCCCCACTGCCCAGGCCCCCCTCCTCAGCCACACTGTCCTCGGTAGGTGGAATGAGCTGGGGAAGGAGGGGCAGGAAAATGGCTCACAGCCGTGTGGGACCATGGTGGGGGGCTGTCACAAGCATCTTCTCATCCCCTCTCACCTCCCAATAGCACCAGTGTTCTTTTCCTTCCAACTCTTTATTCCTCTTCCATATGTCCCTTCTTCCTTCCGGTTCAATAATGGCCGCATTCCAGAGTGATCCTTGCATCTTGACACCCTACCAAAGGCTTTTATTTCATCTTCTTAACAACCCCGTGAAGTAGGAATAATTACTCGCAACTTTATCACCCAAGAGGCAGAGAGGGCATTCAAACCTAGGCGGGTCTGACTCCACAGCCATTACTTTTTTTTTTCTTAACTAATTTCTTTAATTCCAAAATAAACACATGAATACATTTTCCTTGTTAAAAAAACCCAAAAAACAAATCAAAACCCAAATTGAAACTATTAGCATTAAAGCTTCCACCATCCCCATTTTTGGTCAAGTTGACTCTTGACTCCTGGCGTCAAAGGCCTTACTCTCAGCCATGTCTCCCCACCAGACTTCCGGTCGGCTGGCATCCTCCCCTCCCAGCAGCAGCTCAGTCCCCCGTCAGGGTCCAGCCGTGTGGCCCTGCTCAGCTGAGTCAGGGGGAGGGTGGATGCCCACTGGCCTCAGAGCATTCCTGAGAGAGGACTCCCTTGGCAAGGGCGTATCTGCACTCTGAGTGTGATGGGTCAACATACCTCCTGCTCATGTAAACTCCAGAGGGCGCTGCCCCTCCACCAATGCCCGCCACTTCCCGTGAGCCCCAGCCTGGCTCTTGGCCTGGAGCTCAGACTTCAGTGGCCGCAGGCTTGACTGCGACATTCTGGGATTGTAATCTTCAGACTTGGTTTCAGACTTGCTCTTCTACTCATTAGGGAAGGATCTTTGGCAAGTTCCCTAATCTTCCTGAGATTCAGTCTTCTCGTCTGTCAAGTGGGGTAATGAGAGTTCTTACTCAGGCAGTGATGCATAACATGGATCGCGTGTTGAGCACTGTGTCTGGCATGTTGGGCTTTGCGTGTTGGAGCTCTGTAACTGACAAGCATCACGCAGGCCCCCGTAGGAGGCGGGAGGCCCTTTATGGGGTATTTTAGGACTCCTGGGAATCACACACTCACTCGCTGGCACAGACATGCACTGTGCATAAGATTCGCTCACACCCAGCTTGCGCACACCACTCCACCACACTCCCACGCTGCACACCCGCCCACACTGCCCCTCATGGACACCCTCTCCATCTCTTCCTTGTCCTCTGAGGAGCTCATTTCCAGCCCAGCAGCCTCAGTAAAGGACGGGCCTCCCACTTGTGCGAGGAGGGCTCCCTCCTCCCTGATTCCTGCATGCGATGAACGGAGGGAGTCTGCAGGCTGGGCTGGGGCTCCTTGCAGGTCAGGTTCTAGAATGTTCCCTGGGAGGACTCACCTCTGCCTGTCTCTGGTTTTTCTTTCGCAGACAAAACCGAGATTAAGACTTGGAGACCTGATTGAGATTTCTCGCTTTGGCTATAAGCACTGGGCCATCTACGTGGGAGGAGGCTATGTGGTCCACCTGGCTCTCGCAGGTAAGGATGGTCCTCTGTTTAAGCACGAGGGTTGAGGTGGAGAGTGGGAACAGTGGCACAATTATGTGCTTGTTCTCACTTCCGTGCCTGCCATGGTAGGCACTTAGCAGCCATTTGCTGAGTGAATCATGCTCTTTCCTGCAAGGTGTACGAACTGCAATTCTTCCGAAGCAGTGAGCTCCTGGAGAGAGAGACTGTTGACCTTTATCCCCTGAGAGAACGGGGTTTAGTTCCAGCCAACCCACTCGGGAGGGTTGGGCTGGGAACCTACCCTTCATGGGTCCAATCTCCTATGCATTTGCTGTTCTGGAGGGACAGACAAGAGTAAGAAGCAGCTGTTCCCTTCGAATAACTGACAGCTGGCTGCACAGTGTGATGGAAGGAGTGTGGGTCCCTCAGTTAAACAGAACCAGTTCGGAACCCTGGCTCCGCTCATCGACTGTGTGAGGCGCACACGTGGCTTCACCTCGCTGAGCTCAGCTGCGCCCTCTGTCGAGCAGGGAGAAGAATCTACCTCCGGGGTTGCGGAGGTATGAGAGGAAGGAGGGCGCGGGAGACGGGCGCAGGGCTTGGCCGTGGGCTGAACCAACCTCCCTTTCCTTCTGGAGCATCGTGCCATGGAAGAAAACGCAGAAACGCTGGAAACCATTCAATAGCAGGGAACTGGCCAGATACAATAGATACCTGCAGATAGTGACATGGTCTACAACCATTAATAGCAGCTGTACAGCGAGTGTATGTATATACACATGCACACATATATATACACACGTGCATATATATTCAAATTCAGTTCTTAAACACTTAGGCTAATGCTGCTATGCAACCTACTCAGGGGCTTCCCGGGTGTAATCTGAAACTTGCCCTCCGTCCTCGGAGGGCAGGGAGAGACCGCAGAAAAAGGCAGCCCCACTCCCCTACTCCAGATTGGTAGGTGGCGGTTCAATAAGGAAGGGCACTTACTCGTGAGGCTTGTCTTGTGTGGCTGCAAAATGAGTAAATCTCTGCACCTGCCGCCACATCTTAAAAGTTGACATAGAGGCTTTCACTGGGCTCAGTCACGTGCCCGGTCTAGATAGTCTTCTCACCACATTTCCCTCTCAACGCTGCATCCCCGGAACACCTTCGGAGAGCGGGGGAGGTGAGTGGGATGCACGTTCCACAGACAGGGGAGGGGGCGAGGAGCCTCCAATTGCCCAGGTCCAGCTCAAGGGTCCACTGGCCGTCACGTCTTCTTGATGACCCCCCCAACAGCTTTTTGAGGAATAATCTACAAATAGTAAACTTTACCCTTTTTCATATACGGTTCTAAGAGTTCTGACAAATGCTTACGATCACGTAACCATCACCACAAAACAAATAAAGAAGAGCTCCCTCACCCCACCCCCACCGGAAGTTCCCCCACGCCCCTTGTCAACCCCTGCACCCCCAGGTCCCACACCCTCAGCTCCTGGCAGCCTGTGATCTTTTTTCTGCCCCTATGGTTTTGCTTTTTCCAGACTGTCATAGGAATGGAATCATGCAGAATGTTGCCTTTTGTGTCCAGTTTCTGTCACTTAGCATAATGCAGCTGAGGGTCGTTCATACTGTGGCGCGTGACAGTGCTTTGTTCCTTTTGCTGCTGAGTACTAGCCCACTGTGTGGGTGGGTCACCCTCTGTCTATCCACTTCCAGCTCAAGGATGTTTGGGTGGTTTTTGATTTTTGACATAATTATTAGAGCCACTATAAATATTCCCATATAGGTTTGTTTTATATATTTGAACATAGGTTTTCATCTCTTCTGGGTAACATCTAGGGTTGGGATTATGGGGTCGGTGGTATGGCAAGCGAATGTTTGGCACAAGAAATTGCCACTCTTGTCAAGTTCCTCACAGCAATTAGGAGGGCGCCCTCTGCTGGCGAAAGGAAGAAACCCGTCTCAGACAGAGGGAGGCTGAGGGCAAGGATGGGAAGGGAGAGGAAAAGGGGAAAGAGGGGGGCATTGGGGGAGACTGAGGGGTGGAGCTAAGGGAGAGAGGCGGGGAGAGGATGAAGGAAAGAGATGGAAGACTAAGGGGCAGAAAAGGGAAAATTAGAAGCTGAGAAGAAGAGACCGGGGGTTGAGGGCTCCTGAGGGGCAGAGATGGAGGAGACAATGTGTTTCTTCATGAAAAAGAGTAAATTCTTGACGATATATTTTTATGCCTATGTTTCTCTTGTTTCCTCCAGTGTCCCCTTCTCTTTGTGGCTGCCCTTTCTGGTTTTCCTTGGCAGAGGGTCTCCCCGCCCCATCCCTGCTCCTGCAGCTGGCATGAGCGGGGGCAGAGACATTTTTTAAAATGCCCTTTGAAAAGAAAATAAAATCCAGTGAACTAAAGTGTCAACATACACATACAAATGAATTTAGAAGCTGGTCATTAGATGAATTGACTGTTCAGAGACTGACATTACACCAAGAGGCTTTCTGTGAGCCAGGCTCGTCCAGCAGGTCCATAGCCCCAACCTGAGGGTTCTGGGGGGATCACTTCGCCATGTCATTCCAGCTTCCCTGGGTGAGGCAGCAGGCCAGGGTCCCCTTTAGAAGTGAATCGGAGAATTTAGATCTAGGACAGTGTGCACCCTCCCGATTTAATTTGTAGATGGTAAAAGTGGGTGAGAAGAGAAGGGACTTGCCTGAGCCACACAGCAGTGAGCCAGGGCTGACCCTGGGCCCTGGATTCCCAGGTCAGGCCTCCATCCTGCTCGGCGGCTTCCTTTCCTACTATTTCCCAATGCCACCCTCGCCTGCCGGCCCCACGGCTCTGGCTCAGGGAGGCCCAGTGACGGTTTCCAGGCTACAGGCTAGCGAGGGGAAGCTGGGATGAGGACCTGCGTGTCTTCTGCCTCCTCTCTTTGCCCTGCATGGCTCTGCCTTGACCTGACTCTGTCGGGGACGTCACGTGGTCCTTCAGAACAACTCATGTCCTTTGCTTTAGAAATGAGGAAACCAGTGCCCAGGGACTTCTGGTGACTTCTCCAGAGTCACCCAGGCTGGAGTCTGACTCATTCTTGAGGCCAGGCAGGCTGGCCAGACCCTTCCTCAGCTCATCCTTATTGACGGTGCCAAGGGCATTGGGGCAGCCTGCTGGGCCCGCTCTGAGCCCCTGTGGGCCTGCCCAGGTCGGACTCCCTGTTTCTTCTGTGTGAATCCACAGATGACATCGCGGGAGCTGCTGCCTCCAGCATCATGTGCACCCTGACTGAGAAGGCCATAGTGAAGAAGGAACTGCTGTGTGTCGTGGCCGGGAGGGACAAGTACCAGGTCAATAACAAACACGATGACAAGTACCGGCCGCTGCCTTCCAACAAAATCGTCCAGCGGGTGGAGGAGCTGGTGGGGCAGGTGTGGCCCTACTCGCTCACCAGCGAGAACTGCGAGCACTTTGTGAACGAGCTGCGCTACGGAGTCTCCCGCAGCGACCAGGTGCGTCCTCAGCCCGTGTCCCGTCCCCTGGACCCAGACCGTTCCCTCAGCTGACAGTGGCTGGGTGTCAGCATGGGCTGTGCTGGGGTGGAGACAGGGGCATGAACAAGACAAAACAGCAGAGACAGAATCCCTGTCCTTGAGGATGTCACAGTTGCGGTGGGGATGAGGGCGGGGAGACCAGCAAGTCGGCACAGCTGACCAGTGCGGTTAGGGGGCAATGGCCCAGGACCTGAGTCACAGAATGATGGTCAGCCCCGTTGCCGAGCCCTCCCTGGCCGCCTGGCCCTGAGGTGAACCCTTCCCACAGCCCCAGAGGCAGGTGCTATTATGCCTGCTTTAGAGATGGGGAAACTGAGTCTCACAACACTTGAGTAGCTTGTCCAAACTCACTGGACAATTAGGTATTGAGTCTCTAGGACGCGACTGCCACTGTGCAGTGGTGGGATTTGAACCCAGGTCTGTCCTGCTCCCAAGGCCCTGAGCAAGGAAGGCTTCACAGAGGAGGTGACACCTGAGCTGAGTCTGACTTTATTCTTTTGATTAATCTGAAACTGGAAAATGAGCTGGAGATTACCAGGGAATAGGGCAGTGAGAAGTGTAGGCAGAGGGAAAAGTGTGAGCCGGGAGGAGGAACAGCCCAGGTCATGTCAGGCAAACTTTTTCTGTGAAGGGCCGGATGGTAAACGTTTGAGGCTCTGTGGCCCAGATGGTCTCGCCGCTCTGCTCTGCCGTGGTAGCTTTGTAGCACAAAAGCGGCCTTGGACAATACGTAACTGAAGGGCCAGACCGCGCTCCAGTAAAAGCATTTTCACAAAGACAAGCGACAGGCTGGATTCGACCCACATGCCGTAGTTTATGGACTCCTGGTCTAAATTAATGTGAAAAACCACGTTTAGGTGATGTCAGGCATTTTAAAAAATCATAAATACAAAATATTTCAAAGGATGGAATTTCTGATACATTGTACATGGTGTACATGCTTTAAGTACATATTTTTCTCATATCCTTGGAATTGCACGTTTAGCTCATTTAATTAATGAAAAATGTCTGCATGTAATTTAAATAGCCAAGCCAGGCAGTATTGTCAAACCAATCAGTCAAACTTAATTTCTTTTAGAAAAAAAAGTGACAAATTTTTGTCAAATAGACATGTTAAAGCATATTTTTACGACAACTGTCTGACTTCAGAATTTGAATCTAAAACACTAGATGGATAAGAGGGAGCTTCCCAGGAGGTGGGTTTGTGGTGACATATTTCTCCCTGAAGTCCTGTCTGTTTGGGAGCAGAGCATTCCCGAATCATCCCTACTGGCATCCAGGAAGGCTTACACCTTAGGCCATGCACTGTAGATGCAGGATGGCTGAAGGTTAGGCTTCTTTTGTAAGTCAGGAGAAGGGCTCTGGTGAAAGGGGAGGTGGGCAAGGAGAACCACCCTGCTGGAAATGAGGACCCCAGGATGGAGCCCGGGCTATTAGCTGAGGCACCGTTCCTGGCCCCGGGGCCCAGTGGGAACTGCTCCAGGGTGCCGGGCAGTCACCCTGCTGATGGGGTCCCCCTCCTTTTAGCTGAGGAGGGTAGACCTGCCTCTGGTAGGGAGGGGTGGCAGGCTGGGGGGTGGGGCTGAGCTGCCGTATCATGCATCTAAAAGCTTGCCCAAAGGCTGTGCTGAAGCCCCCAGGATCAACGTGGGAGACCCCAGCTTTTCGAGGGTGGTTGGCCCTCTGCTGTGCTTCTGAGGGGTTAGAAGTCGAGACAGCAGGAGGGACTCAGGGGAGGCGGGTCTTTTCATCCAGTTAATGTGCCCCTAGCCCTGCCGCCCCTCTTTCTGAACTCCTTCCACTGCAGGTAACTCATTAGCTTACCTTTCTTTCTCCCTCTCACTGCTTTGTCAACTTAGAAAGAAAATTTGCCTGTTATTTTATCTCAAAATGAGTTTACTCGGGAAAAGCCAAAAGAACTGTAACTCAGGATGTGCATGCTACGGCAGAGCACAGGCAAATGTGGAAAAGAAAGGAGAGGAGCTGCTTTTATAGAGAAAAGGGGCGAGGTGGGGGGCGTGGGGAGGGGCCTTTCTAAAGGAAAGTCCATGGGGGGAAAGTAAGAGTGCAGGGCGGCAACAGCTTCTCATTGGCTGAGCTGTGGTGTTTCTCATTGGCTGAGCTGTGGTGTTTCTCATTGGCTGAGCTGAGGCGTTTCTCATTGGCTGAGCTGTGGCGTTTCTCATTGGCTGAGCTGTGGCGTTTCTCATTGGCTGAGCTGTGGCGTTTCTCATTGGCTGAGCTGTGGCGTTTCTCATTGGCTGAGCTGTGGCGTTTCTCATTGGCTGAGCTGTGGCGTTTCTCATTGGCTGGGCTGTGGCGTTTCTTACTGGCTGGGCTGTTGCACTTCCTTCAGTAGTAAAGCAGCTTTATTTCCTGTCCATCTTTTCCCTTATTTGGTCTAAGTGACATGCCTGACAGGGCATGAGAGCTCCCCCTACAGGCCTTCCTCACTCCAATTTAGTTAAGATTTTTTGAAATTAATTTCCACTCCTCTTCTGACTCTGCCTGTCTAGACTCTCCTCTGCCCGCCTCCTTCTCTGTAAGAAAGTGGACTTGTGAGAAGGGCAGAGCTCTCGGCACAGAACGACTCCATCCGAACTTCTGCGCTAGAGACGACCAAACTCTAGCAGGGCTTCCAGCAACAGGAGGCCACATCCGTAGGGTGACCCCAGCTCCCCTTAAATGCCTGCCTGGAAAAGCTCCTGCTGCCAGGAGAACTTACTGTTCCTTCCAGCCAACGTCTGAGGATGGGGCCATGACCTCCCTGTCTTAGAGCCTTTACTTAAAAGGGGCTTACAGCTATGAATCCCGCCTCTGCCCCTGTGAGGTGTACGTGTATCTCCTACAACTCAGAAGCTCTCCCTCCGGGACCTGGAAGCCATTCCCTTGAATGTAGTCATTAGGAAGGACCAGCCCGTCCCCTGTCTCGTGGGAGGGTAGAATCCTAACTTCCGTATTTGCCAACTAGCAGACACAACTGGCCTAATCACATTTACACTGACCAATTCTTTACAGTTTTTCACTTCCCTGGCTGTGAAGGGCTTAAGTGTGTCTGCTAGGATGTCAGGCAGCTCTGGGCTCTGTCACTTGCCAGCTGTGTGGCTTTGTGTTCCTTACACTGTCCATCCTCAGTCTTCTCCTCTGTACAGTGGGAATATACTACGGTTATAAGTAGGGCTGTTGGGAAGATTAAGAAAAATACGGTGACTGTTAAGTGCCCAGCCCAGTGCTGACAGCTGGAAAGCAGCCATTCTCGTGGACTTTGCTGGTCCCCTGACACAGTGATGTGGGCAGGGTGGGCCCACAGGCTCCCACCAGCTGTGCCAAGTACACTGACGCTCAGGGATCAACCTTATGTCTCTACTGCATCGTGTGTTTTTTTCAGAGTGACCACCTCCTTTATCAGAGCCCTTTTCCTATCAGATCACAAGTGTGGTCATCTTATTTCATAGAAGCACAGCCTCAGTGCTACTCATAGTGAAGACATTTGTTCAGCAGACGAATCTTGAGTGCCTCCTTTGCCTGGAGGTGGGCTGAGTGAGTACCTGGGACTCCGAGAACAATCCAGGCGCGCTCTCTGCCCTCAAACCCTGGGTAGTGAGAATTCACAGGGCTGATTTCTCAGCTTCACACTTGCTTCAAGGTGCCCAGTTGGCCAGCCCTGACCTGGAACATCCGGGCACTGCCCCTCTGTCATTTCCACAGCCATTCCTTGAAGGGTTATTATGCCTTAAATCCCCACAGAGGGATCGAGTCTCTATTCGAGTCTCTATTTCACACCTACAGCTCCTTCCTCCTCTCATTCTTTCCCCACCGGGCACCTCCTCCCCTCTTTCCTGGGTGGCTTGCCCTCTTGAGATCTGCCCTCCTTGCCCATATTTGTTCACTCTTTGGTTCCGTTGAAGAGAACAAGGGCCAGAGGGGTCATTCCTGAGATGAAGGTTCTTGGTGTATGTATCTGTGGTCAGACGCCTGATGCTGAGTGTGACCCCTCCTCTCTTCTGCTGCAGGTCACTGATATGGTCACGGCAGTAGGTGTGACAGCAGGCGTCCTAGCGGTAGGCCTGGCTGCCGCAGGCCTCATCGGGATCCTGAGGACCAGAAGCAAGCGGGAAAAGCAATAAGGCCAAGGAATTGCCCTGAGAGCAGCCCGTTTTATGGAGAAATCTGGCTTGGCCAGCAGGAATGGAGTTTGGTTTATTGATTTCACTCTTTGTGATCATTTAGATTTATTTTAATGGAGCTAAATAAAAGTGCTGGAAGGTTTTATTTGGGGAAATGCGGGCTAGCGTGAACTCTATTGAAGACACAGTTGGGCTCTGGTATGGACTGAACGTTTGTGTCCCCCCAAATTCATGTTGAAGCCCCAACCCCCAATGCAATGGGACCTGGAGGCGGGGCCTTTGGGGGATAATTACCATTAGGTCATGAGGATGGGGCCCCCATGACGGGATTAGTGTCTTTATAAGAAGAAGTGGAGAGACCAGAGTGCACTTGCACTCTCTCTCTCTCCCTTTCTCTCTCTCTCTCTCTCTCTCTTTCTCTCTTTCTCTCTCTCCCCCCTCCATGTGAGGACACAGGGAGAAGGCAGCCATCTGCAAGCCAGGAAGAGGGTCTTCCCAGGAACCAAATCTTGATCTTGGAATTTTCTGCGCCCAGAACTGTGAGAAATAAACGTCTGTTGTTTAAGTGACCAAGTCTGTGGTATGCTGTTATGGCAGCCTCCAATTCTGATACCAAATTCTAGTGTCTGTGTGTGTGTGTGTGTTTTCCACACACCATCGAGCAATTCTCTAACACCAGCTGGGTGACCTATAATTCAACTCAGTTCTGACTCCAGCTGCTGGGAGATGGGTCAATTCCACAGCTTCAGGGTTCAGTCTTACAAGACTGCCCCCCCCCCCACCAGATGCATAGGGCAGGGTACGTGGGAAGGGGCACGGAGCTTCCATGTTCTCTGAGCGTGTCACTCTCCCCAAATCTCCACAGCTCATCCACCCAGAAGATCTCTGGACCCTGGATTTGCGGTTTCTAAGGAGGCTTCAGTACATAGGCTGATTGGTTAAATCATTGGCCATTGGTGATTGAACTCAATCTCCAGCCCTTCTCCCCTCCTTGTCCATCACAGTTCTGTCTCTCCTGCCCCTCGTGTATCCTCTACCATATAAAGCTTAGGGAGGTTAGGGAGCAGGATGGAAAGTTCCAACCCTCTAATCACATGGTTGGCTCCACTGGCAACCAGTTCCTTAGGTGACCTAGGGGCTTTCCAAAAGTCACCTCAGTAACATAAAAGACACCTTTATCATTCTCACCGCTTATGAAATTCCAAGGGTTTTAGGAACTCAGAATCCGGGATAAAGACTAAGTATATATTTCTTATATAAGTCACAATATCACACAGCTGGAGCTGACTGATACAGGCTCCTTCCCAGCTACACGGAGGTGGGTCCCAGCTAGTCACCGCTTTTCTTAGTTTTCTCTTGGTGGGGCTGTGTTCTTTATGTGATGTGAGGATACGCGAGGGGCAGGAGGAGACAGAACTGTGATGGACAGAACAAGGACCATTGGCCTGCCAGGGACTGGGGCCTCATCACCTGGAATTGTGTGGAAGATTCCCGGCCATGAATGTGACTCAGCCACCCCCGAGTCTCTGATCCCACATCCCCTCCTGTGGTTTCTCTTCCTGCATCAGCTCAGCTCCATCTCTCCAGCTGCCTCTGGTTCTCCCAGGTCCAGTTCCTGCTGCCTGTGGGCAAGAGAATCCGATTGGCTTGGCTTACCACATCCTAGCTAAGCCTACGGATTTGCTGCCGTAGGGTCAGGTGACCCCCACTAGGCCAATCAGCTCTGCCCAGTGGGGCGGGGTCACATGGTTCCAACCTGACGAGAGGCAGTTTCACTGGGAGGGGACTGTGGGTGAGCCCAGCGTGAGTGACACACCCGCTACAGGGGCTCAGGGGAGGCGCCAGAGCCAGCACCAGTCTTTGGCCCCTCAAGAGCTGCTGGGAGCCTGGGTCTTGTCCCAGGGCAGATTCAATGGCTGGAATTACAGGGTGGAACGCACGTCGCTCATAAGGTCTCATTCCCCAACCTACCACTACTATTTGGATAATAAAATGTTTGATCCCAAACCTTTTATTTATCTTTTCATGTCTCAAATGCCCATTTCATTACGAGGCATCAGGAGCGGTTAGAGAAGGAAGATGGCTCTGTCCCCTTCGCACCTACCCCTCACCTGGCGAGACCGGCTGTCTGCACTGAGGGCCCAAGGTGTGAAGATGAAGAGGGCCAGCACCTGTGAGGGGTCCACTGTGGGTGCAGAACCGGTTCTCTGAGCCACAGCCTGTCACCCATTGCGGCAAATGCACCTGAGCTCTCATGGCTCGCACAGCTCTTGGGTTTCCATTTGGGAATAATGGTCACCACTGAAACGTTTGCGTGAGCTCACCTTAGCTACTTCCCCAAGCCTCACCTGCAGCTTATAATGAGAGCAAATCTCACCAAATTACGTCACGCACACAGGCATTTATTAAACACGTGTTCACCACGGAGGCACAGAGCGTTCATCCATCCTGTTCTGAAAGTTCAATGAAGACACAAGCCTCTGTCCTTTTAGGTGCTGTGACCCCATCTTGTGTGAAAGGTTCACTCAGCACAGGATTCTGTTGCGGGAACAGTCAGTCTTAGGTAACCAGAAATGCATCCCACAGGGAGGGCACGGGCACATCCAGAGATCAGCTTCAGGTGCCGCTCCGAAAGAACGGTCTGCAGGCTTCTCTCTCACACTCGGTTCCCACAAGGCGGGGAGGGTCTAAGATGCGGTAGCCAGTCCACCTTCCGTGAACAGCACCCACTTCACCAGTGAGAGGTCCTTTCTAGCCCCTGTTACGCTGATCATCGAGTCCTTAATTTGTCCAAGGAAAAACCAGTTTGAATATTCAGTGTGCTGATTCGAAACACATCCGGTGATCAGAGATAAAGACATTGTGGTAGCCGCTTCTTTCAGACACAGCGCCAGCCTGCTGTCCTGGGTGTGGTTTCCTGAGTAGAAGCTGGCCGCACCTGGGAGTCTTTGGGGGAACCCAGCCTCCGTCCTTCTTGTTTCTGAGGCAGCAGGAGAATGCGCCTAGGGACTGAGCATGACTCCTTTCTGGAAAAGTCTAAAGGGAGGAGGTCAGCTAGAGCTGCCCAGAGAGCAAAGCAGACAGGGAGGGCGTAGAGAGCAGTCTGATGGGGCCAACACGTGCCCTGAGGAGGAAAGGCAGAGGGGATCCCCACAAACCTGGCCTCCTGCCTTCACTCCTCACCAGCCCTCCCGAGGAAATCCACAGAGCCCTCCGCCCCCCTCATCTCCTGAAGCTCCCAGAGCAGGACTCGCCCTCATGCTGTGTAGGATGCAGGGGGCTCCTGGGAAATCTGTAGTGGGTTTCCTCTTCACGTCCCCCACTCCCACTTCAGCGTCCCTCCTTCCTGACCCCTTGTTGCTTCCCCTACTCTCACCCTGATCACTTATTTCAAAGAATCCACCTGCCACAGCCACACCCACCTCCCCACCACCCTGGTTCCAGGCTACACACACCCTCACACACAAACACACACCAAGACTTACCCGTCCGAAGTCCCATTTCTTCCATGTTCTACCAGACAGCTGAAAGCCATGAAAGGACTCATTTTTACTAAAATACCAGTGGCTCAAAAAGAGATTGAATGTAAATGTCATGTGAGAAGGCAAATGCTAAAATCTGAATTCAATATGGCAAATTTCAGGCAGAGGTGGGCAGATAGAAACAGACTGGGGTTAGGAGGCCGTCCCCCCAAAACCTGCAGAGAGACCAATGGGAGCGACTGGTGCTGACTCTGGCAGGTTTCCAGGTGACCCAGCCACGAGGAGCTGGGACACTGGCCCTTTCTCTGCAGCGAGAGGGGCTGTTGAGGGGTCCACGTGCTCTCAGCACTGCTGTTACCCTGGCAGGTGGCTCCCCTGAGCACCTGTCCCCTCACCCAGGGCAGCACAGGGTCTCTCCCCTGGAGAACGTCTCTGTGGGGCATCCAGTTGGCTGGCTGCCCTGAGAGCTCACTTGTTTCTCTTATGTCCTTGTCGTCCCGGATCCCAACCACCTTCAGAACATGGTGATTCTGGTGGATGCACATAGAGGAAAACTCCCAGCCATCCACCAGGCAGGAGGGCAGCATTGGGGACTTCCCTGTGTCCTGCCAGCTGTCCCACAGCTGCGAGATGGGGACAGAGATGCTGTCTTACAAAAGTAACAGAATGACATTGAAAGAGGAACCTGCATCATACTACACAGGCCTCAGGATTCTTGTTTCTCCAGCACCAGTCTGGATTAACTTTTCCTGAGCTGAGTCTTTTCCTAACTTTTCCTGAGTCTGTGGAATATATGCGTGCTCTCTAAAGCAAGTTATAGCCCTAAAACAAAGTTTTCTTGAGACCAAGGATTGTCCAGAGGCAGCACAACCATTTTATGAGCTTATCAGGAGAAAGTGCAGAGTGATGTCAGCATCGTGGCAGAGTGAGGTCTCTCAGACATCCTTCCCCTCCAATACACAAAGGAAAAAAACATCCATACTCCAACAGAGGACACCCAAACACAACACAAAAAACGTCAGATATATCCACACAGCCATACGACGGAGGGCGGAGAGGCTGGAACCCCTCTCAGAGGAGCTGGAATGGAGTATGAGAAATGTTCACTCCCTCCCCTGAGTTCTGTAATCTGGGACCCCAGGAGGCCTCCTAGAGGGAAGGAATGGGGGAGGGGACATTCATTCTCAGGAACATCAGGGACTCCCAAGGGCCCTTGCAGCCTGGAGGGAAGCCCTCTACCAGGGTGAAAGCTTTCCCCGGGGGATGGCCTCGTCAAGCCAACATCCCAGGAGAGTAGATAACAAGAGCAGAGGGAGAAAACCCTGAGAGCTCACAGGAGGAAGCGCTCCTCCCCTCACCCGCCCAGCACCCGGCTCCAGCCTCTGGCATCTTGGCTGAAGGCAGAGGGCTCAGCATACACGGCTCTTGACCCCCACCTAGTGGCAACAGGCAGTAACTGCCACCAAATAATGCCAGATGGGAAAGAACGGAGCCACTCCCTCTAGCAATATCAAAAACTATATTAGACCTCCAGACCAGAAAGAAAATGACAAGTACCCAGAAATCACTCCTGAGGATGCATAAATATGTAATATAAATGACAAAGAATTCAGAACAGCTATCATCAGAAAACTCAACGAGGTAAAAGAGAAGGTAAGGAAACAATTTAATGAGTTCAGGAGCTACTTCACAAAAGAGACTGAAACTATAAAGAAGAATCAATTAGAAATATTAGAGATGAAAAACACAATGGAAGAAGTAAAACAAAATATGGATTCCCTGAACGCTCAAACAGACACCATAGAGGAGCGTATCAGCATAATTGAAGTCAGACATGTTGAAATGCTCCAGATAGAGGAGGAGAGAGAACTAAGACTGAAAAGAAATGAAGAAAGTCTCTGAGAAATAGCCAACTTAATTAGGAAATGTAACATAAGAATTATAGGTATTCAAGCAGGAGAAGAGAAGGAGAATGGAGCAGAAAGCTTGTTCAAAGAAATAATAGCAGAGAACTTCCCAAACCTAGGGAAGGAAATTCATGTGGAAGAGGCCTCCAGATCTCCTAAATATGTCAATGTAAAAAGACATACTGTAAGGCATATAGTAGTGAAACTGGAAAAACTGAATGACAAAGAAAGAATACTAGGGGCAGCAAGGCAGAAGAAAATAACCTACAAAGGAACCCCCATCAGGCTTTCAGCAGATTTCTCTTCAGAAACCTTACAGGCTAGGAGAGACTGGAATGACATATTCAAATCATTGAGGGACAAAAGCTTGCAGCCAAGAATACTCTATCCAGCAAAAATATCCTTCAGATCTGATGGAGAAATAAAAACTTTCCCAGACAAACATAAGCTAAGGGAATTCATAGCCATGAGACCCCTCCACCCCCCAAGAAATCTTCAAGAAGGCCCTCATACCTGAAAAAAAGAAAGGAGAAAGGGGTTACAAAGCATGGAGTAAGGAGCTAAATAGGTAGACAGAGTCATAGCAGGATAGCAAATACTCAAGTATAGCATTAAAGACAAAGGGAAGGAAAACACCAAAAACAAAGATAATCTTGTCATTGTAACCACAAACTCATAACACAAGATGGAATAAGATGTGAGAAAAACAACTTAGGAGAGCAAGAGGAAAGGGACTGAATCGGTTTAGTCTAAGGAAATTAGAGGCCATCAGAAAAGGACTATCTTATCCACAAGATTTGGAATCCAAACCTCAGGGTAATGACTAAGCAGAAAAGCAGAACAGAGACACAAATAATAAATAAGGAGAAAACAAAGGAACGTGGTGTAAAAAACTACATCACTTGATTGGTAGACCAAAATAAACAGGACGAGAAACAGAGGAAATGCAGGAGAACCAGAAAATGAGTGATAAAATGGCAACATTAAGCCCTCATATATCAATAATCACCCTAAACACAAATGGATTGAATTCTCCAATAAAAAGACACGGAGTGACGAGATGGATTAAAAAACAAGACCCAACAATATGCTGCCTCCAGGAAACACATTTCAGCTCCGATGACAAACACAGGCTCAGAGTGAAGGGATGGAAGATGATACTCCAAGCCAATGGCAAACAAAAGAAAGCAGGTGTCACAATGCTTATATCAGACAAAGTAGACTTCAAGATGAGACAGGTAGAGAGAGACAAAGAGGGGCAGGATATAATGATCAAAGGGACACTCCGTCAAGAAGAAATAACACTATAAATATTTACATACCCAACACAGGAGCACCAAAGTACGTAAAGCAACTATTAACAAACCTAAAAGAAAGACATTAAGAATAATACAATAATAGTAGGGGACCTCAACACTCCACTCACATCAATGGATAGATCATCCAGACATAAAATCAACAAGAAAACAGTGGCGTTAAACAAAAAGCTAGACCAGATGGACTTGATAGACATATATAGAACATTCCAGGCCAAAACTGCAGAATACACATTCTTCTCCAGTCCACAAGGAACATTCTCAAGAATAGACCATATGTTGGGAAACAAGGCAAGCCTCAATAAATTTAAGAAGATTGAAATAATACCAAGCATGTTTTCTGATCATGCTGCTATGAAGCAGAAATTAAGTACAAGAAAAAAGCTGAGAAAAGGACAAAGATGTGGAAACTAAACAACATGCTATTGAACAAGCAATGGATCATTGAAGAAATTAAAGGAGAAATCAAAAAATATCTGGAGACAAATGAAAATGAAAACATACCATACCAACTCATATGGATGCAGCATAAATGGTACTAAGAGGGAAATTCATCTCAGTACAGGCTCACCTTAATAAACAAGAAATTTCCCAAATAGGCAATCTCAAACTACACCTAACTGAATTAGAAGAAGAACAAACAAAGCCCAAAGTCAGAAGAAGGAGAGAAATAATAACAATGAGAGCAGAAATAAACACTATTGAAACAAAAAAGGCAGTAGAAAGGCTCAGTGAAACAAAGAGCTGGTTCTTTGAGAAGATAAATAAAATTGACAAACTCCTAGCCAGACTTACAAAGAAAAAGCGAGAGAAAGCTTAGGAGAAAGTACAGTATGCTTTTATTAATTACATTTACTTTTCACATTTTAGAGAAATCCAGTTCACAAAAGTCAGTCCAGAGGCTAGGGGTCTGCAACTGGTCTGGTGCATTTTTAAACATCACAGCAACACACTTCTGGTGGGCGTTACAGTGATGACGACTTTTTTCATGTAGAAGTTTTTCCTCCAATCACAGAGAGTTGTATTTTCTATGTATTAGATAATGAAATTGTTAATTAAGTAAACAACTTTTTATCGAGCACTATGGTAAGCCAGGCATTGTGAATAACGGGGGTCCCAGTTTAACAAATTCCAACAGTGCCAGCTCTGGGGGTCCCTGCAGGTCTAGTGGGGAGAGGGAAATTTTTAAAGAACCTCATGGATCAGTGTTCAATGGCAGCTGTGAGAATCGCCATGAAGGGCAGGTACGTGGATGCCAGAGAATCGTAAGGGGGATGTGACCTGGTCGTGTAGGCCAAGCTCCCCCTGGAAGGGCCTGGACACTTCCCCTGTCCATCGGGCTGGAGTAATTGATCCTGGACAGGACATGAGGCCCAGGAGGCGAGCCTTAGACAGCAGGAAGGGAGAAAGGCTCTCTCTCAGCCTTCTGGTTACTGGACCTGGACTCTGCACAGAGCAGCGGGGCCCTCTGACCAAAGGTAGCCCTGGGGCAAGGCAGGCATGGACCTTCTGGAACTTCAACATGGAGGCTGACATTTCAGCCTGGGGATTTGAGCAAGGTCCCCTTGGGTAGAAGTAATTATAAGTTATTCTCCTTGTTCTTCAACCTTGTGATAGCCCTGAGCTTCCAGGGGAGTCTTGTGAATAGTTCCGGCCTCGTCTGTACTGTGCTGGGGGCATTAAGGGGCCCACCAGCACTGCATGCTTGGGAAGGTACCGCTCAGGGGAGGGTGACATCTGTAATCCTCAAGGCAGAGTGGTAGGGGCTGTGGTGACCACCGGGGAGGATGGCCAGAGGGAGTGGCCATTCAGTAGGGTCACTGGTGGCAAAGGCTGGGTGAAGACGCACAAGAACATGGGGAACTGACACTTCTGAGACCACACCCAGGGCATGCTGGGAACTAGCAGAGGGATAGTCTGAAGTTGCACATTTTTTTTTTAAAGACTTTATTTTTTTAAAGCAGTTTTAGATTCACAGAAAAATTGAGAGAAAGTTACAGAGATTTCCCATAGGCCTCCTGCCCCGCTACATGCATCACCTCCCCCATGATCAACATCCTACAGCAGAGGATGCATTTTTGTTACAATTGGTGAACTAATATTGACACATGATAGCCACCCAAAGGCCATAGATGACATTAGGGTTCACTCTGGGTGCTGTACCTTCTGTGGGTTGGGACAGATGTATGATGACATGTAGCCCCCACTTGGCATCATACAGAGTATTCACAGCCCGAAAGACCGAGGGGGCTAATTTTCAGCATTCAACCCAGGGGCAGCTTGAGCCGTGGCCATCTGCTCATGGAAAGCTACATAAGTGCATCTGGTAGTCACAGCTGGGTAAGGATTAGACATTCGAGCTAAAAAAGAAAAACACTATCTAAAAACACGGCTGAGGGAAGGAGGTCAGTGTAAACGTGCTGGGAGATGTTTATGTGTTGTCAGGGGATTCAAGCATCAGAGGATGTGAGTGGACTGGGAGGTAATGAAGTTTCTTCTTCTATTTTTTCACCCCGAGAGTAAAATGAATGTCTTTTATGACAATAGTCAGTCTACAGAATGATGTCGACGATCAACTGAGTACCTGCCAGTTACTAGACATCGGGCAGGGGTCTGCTACACATCCTTTCATTTGATCCTCACTATGTTACCGTGAAGTGGATCGTGGCCGCCATCTCAGAGAAGAAGGAACTGAGGCTCTGAGAGGCAAGAGCTCCCCCTAAGGTCACACAGCTAGACATTGCTGGGAGTACCAACAGGAGCTGAGTCAATGGTACGTTCTTCCTTTCTGGGTCAGAAGTCTACAAAAACACAGTGAAAGTGTGTCCCTTTCTGAAGGGACAGATAGATACATGTATCGATTCTTCGCTCTTGGTACAATTAGCCCATCCTCCAGCCAGTGAGAGAGGAAAAGCGAGAGAGGGAACTACATGCTGCCCAAGTGTGAGTGCCAGGCAGACAGAGTTGCTGTGGGAGGCCCTCTCCACTGGTCTCCACAGCGGCTTCTAATGCAGCATCCTGTGGCTTCGTCAGGCTGTAACTGGTTTTGACGTGATTTCTTCGAAGGGGCAAGTAACGCAGCAAGCCAGGGTACGAGTATGATGAGCATGATGAATATGATCAGCATGCCTATCAGTACACACATGGCGTGTTCCACCTGGAAGTGAGCAGCCCGTGTTCAGAGTCCACAGCAAGTCCAGGCACTTCTCCCTCCCTCCCCAGGGCCTGGAATCCACGCTCATTCTCCCGTCCTCCCTCGGGCCTGGCCTCTCAGCTTCCCTCTGAGCTGGCCAGCCCGGAGTCCTCTCCCAGGGAGGGAGCCGGCTGTGTCCCAGAGGCCCCATTTCCTGGACAACGGGATGTCATGACCACTTAGTGGTGGGCTTGTCTGGGCTTGTCCTGACAGCCTGCAGGATGGGCTGATGGACTCATTTTGTGTGAGCTTCTGGGTGAGGACATTCCTTCCTGACTCGGGGTGGGTAGGGAGCAGTGTTTGTGCCTGATTCCCTGGGGCCGCTGCTCCGGGGGTGAGACTGGGGACTTGTTTGTGGTCTGGGTTCTGCCTGGGCAACTCCCCTGCGACGGAGGGGCTGTGGGGGAAGCTGAGGGGAGGTTTCGGGAAGCCATGGCACTTTAGTTCACTGTGCGCTGTGTACTGTCCACAAGTGCAGCCTGGAAACTTCCATCTCCAGCCCCACCTCAGCCCTGAACTCCAGACTCAAGTGTCCAACTGCTACACTATCTGCACCTAGATGTCCAACTGGGGATAAATAAATGACGAGCAATAAGATGTATTGGAATCTGTGAGGAAGCCATTCAGTGTAAAACTAATTCGTCCTGACCTTGTTTTTCCAGAAAGGGCTGACATGAACTGTCAAGCATGCATTGTACACCTGCTATAAACAGTTATAATGTCCCAAAGCCAAGGATGATGCCCTTAAACATAGGGATGCTGCCTCCCCCATATCAACATTTCTTTATAGATAAGCATTTCTTCCCAGAAACTAAGGATTAGTTACTGACCTGTCATGCTCATCTCATGACCCCAGACCTGCTGACCACTGACCTGCTGTGCCAGCAAAGCATCTCGTGTTGGTAGTAAAAGGCATCTTCCTGTCATATTTGATGTATGTTCCTTGTCCCAAGATGGCATATAACCACTCTGTACACCCCATTGCTTCGGAGTGCTTCCTTCCTTGGTGAAGGTTGCTTTCTCCCAGGTCGTCATCCTCCAAACTGGCTCATGTCATAAACTCACCCCAGCTTTCTTTTATACATTGATTATGAATTATTTGCTCTGGCCTCCTCAAACATCCTGTTACTGTCCAAACTCTTGATTTCTCCCCATAAACCTGCTCCTCCCGTCCTCATGCTCATCTCTTGCAGGGTCGCCCATCCACCCAACCACTTGGGCCAGGAGCCCTGGAGGTGCTGTAGTGTGGCAGGAACAAACAAAGACTCTAGACAGGGACGGCTGGGGTTTGAATCCTGCTTCTGCCACTTATTAGCTATGTGTTTTGGGATAATGAATCTGGAAGACTATGAAAGCGTCTAGAGTAGAAGCTGTGCTCCAGATCTGACATAAAAATGTTCCTGAGCTCTTACATAGGCCCCCTGACCTTGAGCATCCATTGCCTGAGTGCTTTTGGGGGACTTAGGAGACCCGCCATGGTCCTGGGTTGGCCCAGACAACTCTGGGAGCTTCAGTAGCTGCCTGTCAGGGTGGACTTAGAGCTGAAGGGTCCCAGAAGGTCAAAAGTGGCCAGGACTCCAGAGACCCTCCAACTAACTCTTCCTCCTGCACTTGCGGAAACTGAGGCCCAGAGAGGAAGTAACCTGTCCAGAAACACTCTGTGGCTTAGAAGCAGATCCCAGATTTGAGCTCAGACATCCTCGCTCCCAGCCAGCGGGTCCCTGAGAGCCCATTTTGCATCCTTCACAGTGATTCTCCCCTCTGGCTGCACAGCCGCTCACCCCCACCCCAAGCAGACTTCCAGGAGGGACAGGGACCACCCCAAAGAGGGCCTTACCTGCCTGCTGCTGGCTGCGCCGTATCTCAGTTCGGTGGCAAAGCGCTCACAGTTCATGCTCAGAACACTGTACTTCTTCTCTTCACCAACCATCTCCTTCGCAGCACTGATGCTCTTGTACACAGGCTGTGGTCTGTATTTGTGGTCCAAGTAGTTATTGACCCGATAGCGGCAGCCCCCCGCTACATCCCTCAGGGGCTGCTGTTTCACCTCTGCTCTGCCGCTCAGAATAGAGTTGATGCTGGAAGAGCCAGCCCCAGGGTACTCACCTGGAATCAGAGAGAGTGTCACCCAGAGCTGTAAGTGAAGGCAAGGTAGTGAGAGAGAGGGGGGCAGGACGAGAAAGAAGCATGAAGGGAATCCACCAGTGAGCTTTTGCTGTAGGTCGTTTCACAAATGTGAGTGGAGGAGTCACAGATTTTTCTCTTTTAACTCAACGAGCTTCGAGTATTTTTCAACTCGATGACTGACGGGATTGTCATGGCTGCTGTCGCATTCTGTTTAATGAATGTACATCTATTTGACCAATCCCCTATTAGTGAACATTGAGGTTCTCAAATTTAGCCATTATACTCAATGACAGTAAATCATATTTTTATTTGTTTATCCCTGTGTACTTGTGAATTTCAGAAAGAGATCACATTTGTTTTAGTACCCACTGTGTTTCAGACACTATGCTGGGCAACTTTTCACATATTACCTAATTTAATCTCCTTTTTAACTTTCAAGGTAAATATTATAATCTCCATTTTACGACCAATATTAGACCCAGAGAGACATTTTCAGACTTTTCTGTGCTGTGGAAAGTGCTAGAACCCGAATGTGAAACTGCCTCTCTCAAGCTCCAAAGGGCAGGCTCCTTCCATGGCGCTGAGCTGAGCCTTAGGGAATCTCTCACGTGAGTGTCTTCTCTCCTAGGACCCGGCACCGCTCTGGGCACATGGAGAGGGCCACAGAAGAGCCATCAGCTCATGGAATCCAAATTCCATCCTAGGGTGAGTCCAGGTTTAATTTTTTAAGACGGAGAGTCACTAATGAGGTCACTAATTAAGCATGTTTATTTTAAGTTTCTAATCTAAAGTCAGATATTTGCACTTAGAAGCAATGTCCTTAAAAAACAACTGTCCACACCCCGGAAGTTAGACACAAAAAGGATCAAACGTCCTCCCTGTGATGCTTTCTCTGACAGGCTCCCCTCAGGGTCATCTGGATGAAGTGGACTTGTTTTACCATTTACCATCAATTCAGATATTTTTACAGTTCTGCCAAGGTAGATGACAACCTGTAGAAAACTGATAAGCTGCAAATATATGATTCAGATCATCATGACAACGATTTTTGTCCAGTTAGAATGCAGATGCTGGGGCCAGCCCGGTGGCCGAGTGGTTGAGTTTGCGCGCTCGGTTCGGCGGCCCAGGTTTTCATCAGTTCGGATCCTGGGCGCAGACATGGCACCGCTCATCAGGCCATGCTGAGGCGGCATCCCACATGCCACAACTAGAAGGACCCACAACTAAAAACATACAATTATGTCCCAGGGGAGTTTGGGGGGAAAAAGGAAAAATAAAATCTTACAAAAAACCAAACAGAATGCAGATGCTTGGCGGAGGAGAGAACATCGAAGGTTGTGGCTCTGAAGGACACAAACCATTTGCATCTAATTTGACAGGCTTATTCCAGCCTTTTTGTCTTTCATTGACTATACATACATCTGTTCCCTGCATTCTCCTTTTAACTGGCTCTGTCATCCTGCTGCTTCTGTTATCAATGACTTAAATAAATTGTTCAATGTGCTCACTATGCACTTGTATGAGAATTGTTTTTGATGTGTAAAGCTCTGAGGGCTGCTTCTCTTCAGGACTGTTAAGTAAATACTCTCAAGACACCTTGTCTGTGAAACCGGATGAGTACAAATGACACCACACTGAGAAACATGCTTCTTTCTTTAAGACCATGGACCCTCAGAATCTTTGCTGGTTGAAGTCATATGAGAGTCTGCATACCAGGGAAAACTGGTCAGCTGGACAGATCTGAGTGCTGAAGGCCCCCAGCTTCACTGGATGAGCCCACAAACCTCTTTTCCTGCTTCTGTCAGGACCTATGGGAACCCCTGTGATGACTCAACAGGACATGGATGTGGGGTCTGCTCAAGTGCTGCCCAGGGAAAATCCACCTCCGGGTTCCCCTGCTCGGCTCTTTCTTCCCATTGATCTCATTATCTGAGCAAACATTTAAAAAATTATATTTTCAACAGTCCTTACTTGGAGGACCGAGATGGATCACATCACCACCTTCCATGTAGATGGCCCAGTGCTCGTAGTCAGTGCGGAAAATCTCAGTCAGGCCTCCAGGTTCAGGTTCCACACAAAACTGCAACAGAAAAACCCGAGATGGTGTTGACAGGCGTCTAGGCAACAGCAGATTCCTCACTGGTGAGCTGCAGCTCAGACCGGGGACCCCCTTGCTGATATTCATCACTTGGTGAGAGCCTAGGGTTGGGGGAAGAGCTCCTGGTCCCTCTGAGGTCCTCAGCCTGCTGTCACTTTTAGAGGTTCCCCCACAACCAGGAGCTGGAAGCCTGGAAAAAATGACCTTGTGGGGGCTGGCCCCGTGGCCGAGTGGTTAAGTTCGCGTGCTCCGCTGCAGGCGGCCCAGTGTTTCGTTGGTTTGAATCCTGGGCGCGGACATGGCACTGCTCATCAAACCACGCTGAGGCAGCGTCCCACATGCCACAACTAGAAGGACCCACAACGAAGAATATACAACTATGTACCAGGGGGCTTTGGGGAGAAAAGGGAAAAAAATAAAATCTTTAAAAAAAAAAAATGACCTTGTGAAGTGGGAGAGTGGGGATCTGTGCAGTGTGTATATTATGCGTGTGTGTGTTGTGTGATGTGTGTGCATGACACGCATGTATGTATATTCATGTTATGCCTATATGTAGGTTTGTTGTGTGTATGTGTGATTGTGTATGTGTATGTTGTGTGTGTTGTGTGTATGTGTGTGTGTTCTGTGTGTGTACTGTGTGTGTGTTATGTGTGCACATGTGTATACTGAGGATGCAGATACATATATGCAGGTACATTGTGCCTGTGCTCCTGAGTGTGTTGACATGACAGCCTGCATGTGGCAGCCCCAAGCACATCCCCAGCAAAGTCGGGCAGGTGAGTCCTCAGTTTCCCTATCCTTCCTAGATGGACCCTCAAGTCCTCATCGTGCCTCCTGTCCCTGGCTGTGCATGGTGGCACCAGGCACCTCCTCCTCCTCAGACTCTGTTTCCTTCAGCCTCAGGACGCCCATCATTGGAGATACCCACCTGAGAGACACCAACTGACATCATCCTAATGGGACCTGAGCCTTTGGGGGGACCCTGAGGGGCCACCCAGCTTCCAGCACTGAGGGGGCTGCTGCACGCACACAGCCGGCCTCTGTGGGCCCTTCTCCTACAGTAACTGCAACATCCACCACTCCTCCAAGGGAGGGAGCATCCCTCTGCTGCTCAGGGGGGAAGCTGAGGATCAGAGAGGTGAAGGGACTTGTGTGAGAACAGTCAGCTGGGAAGCAGCCGAGCTGGGTCTTCTCCGCCGCGTCTCCCCCGGGTCTGACTCATCCCTGCCTTCCTCCCCTTCCACAGCCCTTCCCCTCCTCACTGTCCTGGCCCAGGGCACTGCAGCTTCGTGACTGGAGAATTTTTTAGGTTCTCTCCCTCTCTGTGCCTGATCTCAGGGAATGACAAACCTCCTGCATCCCTCATTGCAGGCTGCCCCATCTGAGACCAGGGGTCAGCTGACCTTGATGTCTTCCTCACGCCAATACCAACAACCAACGCTGACCCGGGAGGTTTCTCCTGAACTCACTTCCTCGTCCACCTTCCACCCACTGACGTGGTTCAGTGCAGCCCTGTCCCTGCCTCTGGGGAACTCTGGGAATTGCCCAGATTCTAGGTACTGGGAACTCTGGGAATTCAGGGAACTCCCCCACAGTTATCCAGACTGGCCCCTCTCCCCCTGTCCCTCCCTGCCACTCCACATCCGGTCTCCCCAGGACCCACTGTGGCCCTCCCAGAGGGCCCATCTGGCCACGACTTTCCACTGGCCCCAGGGCACAGGGCACGACTTTGGGCAGCTCCCAGCCCCTTCATGACCAGCGCCCCCTCATCTCTCCTCACCCTCCCTGTGATCTGTGCTGCCCCCAGGCTGACTGAGTCACTTCCTGTCCCTCACCCCAAAGCTTGCTGTTGTCTCTGATGCTCTGCAAATGAGGTATTTCTGTCCCCGAACACCTACCCCCCACCCCCCACTCAACCTCTCTCCTCCCATCAGACATCACTCTTCTGAGAAACTGCCCGGAAAGCCCCAGCCTGGCTTGGTGGCCGCTCTCTGGGTCCCCAGGCTCCCCGGCACCTCCACTTCTCCCTGTATGGACTGTGTGCCTGTCTGCACACCCTCTAGGCTTTGAGCTCCATTCAAGCCGGATCCTGTATACTTGTCATTTCCCGCCTCCCTGCATCTCTGGGATCCAGCGAAGGGTCTGGCTTGGAATGGGGGTCAAGGAAATGTACGTGGAAGAGGCCTGGAGGGTCACCGGGACAGGTCTCCCGCCCAGCACCTCCTCCATCTCAGCCAGGCGGGACAGGCCCAGAGACCGTCTTCAGTTTGGAATCACAAAGGGATTTTTCACTCTGAAGCTAACAGGCTAAGGCAAGGCCCGGGCTCCGTCCACAGCAGCTGGTGGGAGACGAACTGTGAGCTTGGGCCCTGCCTGTAGGGAGACGGGTTCCCAGGCAACAGAGCCCTGATTCTCTTCTGGCAGCAAGAAAGCCCTTCCTCAGAGCCCGGTTATACCCAGGGTGGTCTGCCCTCTAGAATGTGCAGTGTGACCTCCAAGATTTCCCATTTCTAATAATAGCCCGAGTCAGCTGGTTCCTTTTCAGCTGCACACCACCGAGCTCTGCCTGCCCCTCCCTGGAACTTGCGTCAATCTGCAGATCAGGGCTGATGAGAAGGGAGGTTTCAGAGTCAGAATGCTGAAATTCTAATGCACTTAGTAAGGCAGGACAAATGCCGTGGGGGAAAGAGGAGAGAGACAGGACTGGAGCTGGGAAGGCCCCAAACTCCAGCCAGCAGCTGAGGCAGACAAGGTGGGGAGTTCACTCACTTCCCAGTTCCAGGGCCCCCCCATGATCCACATCCCAGCTACCCCCAGCTCAGGCTGCCACAGCTCCCAGACACCCACAGCTCCTCCCACACAGGGGTCCCAGCCGCCCACACACACTGTGCCAGACACAGAGGAGAGGCTTACAGTGCTAGAAGGCTTCTCAGTCCACAGGCAAAGGGACTTTTAAATCACAAATACAGTTTTGCACAAAAGCCTTCTACAGCATTTCCGAGCTCTGTAGTTAACTCTGCCCAAGGCCAGGAACCCAGACTGAGCTCTTTGCAGCAGCAGAGTGGCCCCCCAGCAGTAGAGCCACTGATGGAAATGTCCCAGGGACTTACCTGAGCCATGGCGTCCCGGGGCTCTGGGGTTCTGCTGCTCCTGCATCAGCTTTTATACCAAAGTCGAGACTTTCACTTTTGCTTTCCTTCTGACACCCTTTAAAAATAACTCCACACTAAACATTTTTTAAAGAGACTAAATATTTGCTCTAAAGGGAAAGGCCAATGGTTATTTATATCAAAACATGGAATCACTGGTGCCTTTAAGCCACTGGAAGCAGTCAGAGCAGGAGGGGAGCCTGAGAAGCTGCCCCTGCCTGAGAGACCCCAGGTCTCTCCCAACAGAAGCCCTGGGCCAGTGTTCCTGCTGCACGAAGGGGCGGCATTTAGAGGCACAGAGGTGTCAACCCTCAGGGGACGCTATAGGCCATTGTCTGGTAACGACTTCAGAAAATATTGGGTCAGGAGCCATGGGCCAAGCCAGATGGGTACAGTGTTCCATGGGGAAAGCCTTCAGATGGTGGGTGCGCTGGATCATGTGGGGCCCAGGAGCTCATTGCCCCCACAGGTTGCATGTGGCTGCAAGAAGCAGAAGAGAGGTTTCAACAGCCTGTCTCTGTAACGGGAAGCCAGGAGGCCGGTGACTCAGGTTCAGTTCAGCAGCTCAAAGGCCACTGAGGACCCAGGCTTTTCCTTCACACTGGACCTGTGTCTGTGGTCACACCCTGCGTGGTCCACGATGGCTGCAGCAGCCTCAAGTGGCACATTTTCACGTGGCAATGTCCAAAAGCAGTAGAGGGAGATGTTTCTCATCAGCTGTCCCTTTTTTTCAGGGAGTAAAATCTTTCCCACAGTCCCCTGGCTGTCTTGCTCCCACCTTTCACTGTCCAGATCTGGGTCACATTTTCACTCCCAAACCAATCATGGGTAAAGGGGAAGGGCCTTCCTGGCAGGCTCAGACCATCATGATGCATCGGCTGGATCTGTGGAGGGGCTCCTGCTGCTCTGTGAACAGCAGGGCTCTGTGAGCCTGGGAGAAGGTGATGCGTGACAGTGATGTGTATGTAGCGGGGTGGCTAATGACTAGGCAACCAGCACATAAAATAAACTCACCTACTTCCATCCACCATAACAAACAGCTTTATTATGAGATTACAATGAGGCTGGAACCAGTTCTCAATAATCACCTGATTCCCTATAGGATCTGGCATGAAAGTGGGGGTGGTTGACTCACTGGAGACTGGAAGAGTACGCAGCAGGCTTGTGGATATCGGCAGAGCCCCCATCAGAGAGAGCTTGCGCCCAGGGCACTCAGGAAGGGAACGGCCTCTCCCAGCATCAGCCCCCACCCCAGGTTCCTTTGACCAGACAGAGCTCCAGACACAGGGGTCCAAAGTTCCTTGGCTCCTCTGTTCCTGTCCCCAGGCCTGGCACTGCCCGTTCTGTTTCCAAAAGAGCTTAATGTGTAAAAGAAGTAAAAGATTCACTGACTGTTCACCTCCTTGCATTAAAGTCATGTTCAAAACGGAAAAAGAAAAAAGAAAGCAGCCAGGCCTTGTCTCTTTCAAGTAGTGTCACGTTGGGTCATCGCCTGACCTCTCCTGGTCTCAGTTGTCTCCTCTTTAAAGTGGGGGCTTCATCTTTGTCAGCAGAGAGGCAGTGAGCCTGTGGACCTGGAGCTCCAGAAGGTGGCGACTCGGGTCATTGCTGGCCCAGCTGGAGCCACCTCTGTCACTGGGCTTCAGTTACCGAGGCCCGTCTTCAGGGTAGAAGCCGTCAGGAGGATTCTGCCGCTGAGCTCTGTGCCTCTCCCCTCAGCTGCTCCTCTCCTGCTTCCACATCTGGGATGTGACTCTTGCCTCACCTTCCAGCCTTCTTTCCTCCTCAGCGGCTCTGCTGTCAGGTTGGCTCAGCTCTTGAGCAGTTTGTGGCATCGATCCTCCCTGAGAAATATTCAGCTGGCTCTGGGATTTATCCCCACAGATATTTCTAGGGTCCTCCCTCATGTCACAACATAACCTCCCGTGTCTGCCAGAAGAGCAGGGAGGACGAGGCATCTGAGGGCAGAGGTAGTGCCAGTCATCGAGGGTGCATTGCTCCCTAGGTGAGCAAGAGCCAGTGGCAGTCGAGGGTCTAACTCTGAGATGACGATCTCATGCAATACCCAGCACACGGTAGGACCTCACCTTGGACCTTTAATCAACAAGTATCGACTGAGCACCTACTGTGTGCCAAGCACTGTTGTGGGCATTTGGGGATCCATCAGTGAAGAAGACTGATAAAAATCGGTGCCATTGTGGTTCTCACCTTCCTGTTGGGGAGATAGATTTAGTAAGTTAGTAAGATAGATATGATGTGAGATGGCCAAATGCTGAGAAAAATGGAGAAGGAAGGGGAATAGGGATGATGGGGAGGTGAGATTTCAGATAGTGTGGTTGGGGACGGCCTCACTGAGGAGATGACCTTTGAGTCATGAACACAAGGAGGTGGGAGGGAGCCCTTCACACATCCATAGAGAGAGTGTCCCAGGCAGGGAAGCAGCCATTGCAGAGGCCTTGAGCCTGCAGGTGTCGGCCAGGGTATCCGAAACCAGGGAGCAGGTCATAGGAGATGACAGCCGAGAGGGACCAAGAGCCCGATGTACATGGGCTGCAGGCTGTTGTCCCCGTGTTGATGTTTACTCTGAATTAGATGGGAGCCAGGGGAGGGTTGGGGCACAGCGGTGACGTGCTCTGACTCATGCAGTTTTCACAGACTACGTCTGGCTCCCGTGTTGAGTATAGTCTGTGGAGTCGAGAGTGGAGGGAGAAGAGCAGTTTGCAGTCTTCCAGACACCAGAGGAGCAAGAAGTGATTCGATTCTTGATGTGCTTTGAAGGTAGAGTATGTCAGTTTGCTACGGGTGCCATTACATATACCACAGACTAGGTGGCTTCAACAAGAGAATTTGATCTTCTCATGATTCTGGAGCCTAGAAATCCAAGATCAAGGTGTCAGCAGGTTTGGGTTCTTCTGAGGCCTCTCTCCGTGGCTTGTAGATGGCCGCCGTCCCCCTATGTCTTCATATGGTCGGCCTTCTGTGTTTGTCTTAATCTTTTCTTCTTGTAAGAACACCAACTGGATTAGTACCCAACCATGTGACCTCGTCTAACTTATTTACCTCTTAGAGACCCTATCTCCAAATACAGTCATTTTCTGTGGCACTAAGGGTTAGGACCTCAACATCTGAATTTGGGGGGGACACAATTCAACCTATCACATTGACTTTCTGGCATAGCAGTATAATCCGGGTTTGTCTTGTACTTTCCCTGCCCTGACCCGGGAATCAGTCATTTCTCCAAGGAGCCTGGTTCCTTTCAATGGATAATGGTATGTACAACACAAAATTGGATCATTTAAGGAACTTCTAACTAATTTCTATTCCTGGGAGCCAAAAATATCTTGATGGGGACATTGAGCCTTTCTCTCTAAAACACTGTAACACACCCCACCGACAGGATTTTCCTTTGGGAGTGCAGGGTCCCCTCCAATTTACAGCCTTTCCCCTACTGCCCAACATCTGGAAATTGCAGTTACCTGATGGAGAGAGGGAGAGAGGCTCCTTCTGGCGGTGGTTGTGGGAGACCAGCAGTACGTTCCCATTAATTTTTGTCTCTCTGGGTGTCAGCTCCTGGGGATGGGTGTGCTGGGGCTGGAGAGGGAATCTGAGGAAGGAATCCTGTGGCATGTGGCCATGGACACAGTGGGCAGGAGGAACATGGTCTGGCCCTGAGGTCAGTCTGAAAAGAGGGAAGGGGAAACAGCAAACTCCCAGGTCTCCTGGGTTGTGCGTGGTGCTCACACTGAATGTGCTTGCTCATGGGGCACATGTGTCCACCTGCACAGAAACAGAAAACACCTCACACACGCAGACAAAGTGAGTGCACACACAATATACTCATGCACACACACACCTCCCTGGACAAACCCTCGTCTTCCACATCTCTCAGAAGGCATTTCCCTGGGCTCCAGTCCCCAGCACCCCTACAAAGGGTAGCCCCACATGAGTGACAGCGAAGCTGGGGCACCCTCCATGTGACACGAGTTCACCCCTTGCTGGATTTACCCAGGAATACTGGCGCCTGGTTGGGGAAGCTGCAGCTTAGTCTACACACCTTTCTCTCTGTTCGTCTCCTGGTTTCTCTGTGGCAGAAAACCCCAAAACCTGGGCAAATGATGGCAATTTTTACCCTTGCTGTGATCATTGGAGGATGGTCATTGGTTGATGTGGCTTCTCCAGTTAGGGACACATTTGTCTATTTAAACATCAGTCTTGTGTTTAGAAGTAGGAACCTTCAGTCAACTAAGGTCAGTATTATGTTCTGATGAGGCCAATAGCTTGTCCTTGTGGAAATAAAATACTGGAGACCTTTATTCACTGTCAAATGGAAGTTATTCTACATCAGTTGAGTTGTATATTTTCCATAAATCACATGTGCCAGGTGATAGAATGTAAGAGGAATGTGAGGAACAGAACCTGTTTCTAAATGGTCCACACCATGTCAGCCCTTCAACAGGGAGGGCTGGGCCTTTGGAGCTTGTGAGCCTGGTTCCAAATCCTGGCTGCACAACAGCTCAGCAGAGACCTTGGGTACGCTGCTTAATCTCTTTGAGGCTGAATGGATAGTCTGATAAAATGGGGATAATAAAACTTACCCTGTGAGGTGATGGAGGTGATTAAGTGAGATAATATATAAAAAGGAATCCAGCATAAGTGCCTGGCAGAAAGGAAGTACTGAGAAAGTGGTGTTCTCTTTCCTCATCAGACAAAGGTACAAAGCTATTCACAACATTATTTTAATAAGAATGAAAATTTGGAAACAACCTAAATGCTCAAATTGCCACTTACTCAAATAAGCTCTAGTTCATCCAGGTGGGACCAACAAGGAGCTCAATGACACTCTGCAGGTGTCTGGTCACATCTGTACAGGTGGACGTGCACATCCACTCAGACACACATGGACACAGTCACTCAAAACACATACTCTAGACATATGGTCATCCCAGGGCCACAACGGGTTACACATCCAGCAAACCCCTTCACTCCCTCTGTCCCTGGGGGGATCTTTTCCAGTCTCAGCACTGTCAGCCATTAGTGGGCACTAACTGGGACAGCGGGGAATGATCCCATCTGTGAGGAGCATTTTCTCCTTCCTGTCACTGATCCACAGATCTGCCCCAGCCAG